CCCTGTGACTTGAGGTTTCTCCTTTTAATACTTATTAAGATCCTGAGCCTTTATGCACACTCCTTTGAAATGCTGAAAACGCACATGGGTTAAATAAATCTTTTCTTCATCTAAACAGTGTACCAGTTTCCTGTTGTGGAAAGATGATATATAATCTAGTACCTGTACCATGTTTCCCAAGTTTTGTCAAACAGAGCATGGTCACAGTTGAGTTCAGTAACTAGTGTTAGATTTGATATTTAAAAGCCATATCCAGATTTAATTGAAGTTAGGAAATTAAGACAGCATATTTCATGCATAAATATAATTTAAGTTTACAGTTCTTATATAGATGCTTGATATGCACAGGTACTGACAAATAATTATTGGATATTTTGTTGTTGTTTTTCCCTGGTTTGATCCAAAAAGGATTTGAGCAATTTGCAATAATACATATGAGCAAGGTTAACGATAAGAATAGATACAGAAATCCTTCAAATGTAAAATAAACTTAGTCACTGTAAGGTGAAATGAGAGGAGAAGTTAGCTGGGAGGAGCAAGTAAGGGCTTTTGAAGTTATCAAAATTGATCTGCAAATGTATGGACTTGTTTTGGGTCCTAATTCAAATCAACCGACTGGGGAGAAAAGATACTTTGAGACACTTGGGGGAAAAAGTGAACATGAACAGAGTATTCAATTGGCACTGATAGTGGTATCAAAAGATCTGTTTACCTCTTAGGGATATATATTGTAATTTTTTTGTTTGTTTCAGTTTTATTTAAATTCCAGTTATCATAAAGTATAATATTAGTTTCAGGAATAGAATTCAGAGATTAATCACTTACATATATAACACCCAGTGTTCATCACAACAAGTGCGTTGCTTAATACCCATCACCCTTTTAGCCCATCCCACTACCCAGAATCCCTCCAGCGACTCTGTTTGTTCTCTATAGTTGTCTGTTTTATGGTTTGCCTCTCTTTTTTTCCCCTATGTTCATCTATTTTGTTTCCTAAATTCCTCATATGAGTGAAATCATGTGGTATTTGTCTTTCTCTGACTTATTTCACTTAGCATAAAACCCCCTAGCTCTAGCCACATCATTGCCAATCACAAGGTTTCATTTTTTATGGCTGAGTAATATTCCATTATATATTTATATATATTTATTTTTATATATATAGAATATACATACAGGTGAATATAAATTTTTATATGTATGTATATATAGAGAGAATATATATTTACAGGTGAAATTATAAATGTATAGGATTTGCTTTAAAATAGTCCAGTAAAAACATGGGGAGAGGGAGGTCGAGGGAATAAAGATAAAACGAAAGTGTCAGGATGTTAATAATTTTTGAAGCTGAGTGTCTGGTACTGGGTACATGAGGACTTGTGTAAGTTTGGAAATTTCTGTAATAGGTTGAAAATAAAAATGGGTTGCACATTTGGTACTGGGATTCATAATGGCTGAAGAAAAGTAACTAATTTTATTTATAAAAATTTTTGTTTATAAATAATACTAAAGCTCATTTTGGTATAAATAATATTTTTGTGAAAAATAATCTTCAAAACAAAAAAAAATGTACTGAGAAGAGTAGAATTGTTTTACACTTTTGAAATTTCTTCAGTATCTGACTAAACAAGACAAATTCTCATATATGCTTCTGCATTTAGTTTATTGTGATATATTGTTTGGATTGAAGTACATAAATAAAACTCAGTTTCACCCAGATACATAGTTAGAGCACAGAGAGATATTTTCAGATAATTGATACCACATCAGAACTTGACTAGTGGTGATTTAATGATGAAAATTTAATTGCTGTGTGGAATCTGAAACCACATCAATGAACTTTTAATTCTATTATGTTAAAATCTATCATGTGTACTTGATGCAGTTGGAAAAATGATTCACTAAGTTATGCAGATATTCCAAATACTGACATATTTCATCAGATAGTATCTTCTTCATCATATAGTATTTTTTAATCACATTTCTTAAAACATCACCAATCTTAAACAATGAAAGTCTTTAAATAGTGGGAAGCTATCAAGCCTCACAGTGGCAAAGTCAGGTTTCCCAGAATTCTCTTTTGTTTGATCACTTGAATGTTATCATGGGCAACAAATATTTTCAGTTTTTTTCCTTGAAGTTACAGTCTTCCTTCATTCATTTTTGAGATGTCTGCCAGATAGCCTTTATGTGGAAGAGTGATGCAGTGAAAAGAGGGCTAGTTCTGCTTAATTCGAATATTTACACAAGTGTTTTTCCTCATGACAATCATGTTACTTCAGTATAGAACGGATGTGCTTTATGCAAACTTCCCAGTTTGTCACATAATATTAAAAAGAAGTGTATTTAAGGGTTAGGATTTAATAAAATCAATATTTTTTTATCTTTTTAAGATGGATATTCTTAAGTGAAACTGTTTTCTTCACTGTAAGGAGACAGTGGAGAATACAGTGACTCTCGTATGTAATTTGATGCTGTTGCTTTAACTCATGCTAAGGTATCAGCAGTTTTACCCACCATTGTTTTTGCACTATCATTGCAAATACCCACCCAGTGAAAAAATACCCACCCAGCTAACACTTAAGTAGCACCTTTATATTATTATGCAAATGGTTTTGACCTCATAGATGGGCACACCAAAAGAATCACAGGGCCTTCTAAGGGTCCACTGACTATTCTTTGAGAACCACTTCCTAAACATCCAAGACATTTTGCCCTTGCCTACCCTGTGGTCTTTGCCCCAGCCTTTATTAATTTTATTAATGTGATCTCCTAAATGATCTCTCAGTCTCCTTTCTCTTTCTCAAGAATTACCTTTCTAGAGTACAAATCTGATTGTGTAGTTACCCTTTTAAACTCTTTCAGCATGCCCAGTACAATGGAATAAGATCTACTAAATTCTTTATAGAACATCAAAGTTCATTTATTATCATGCCTACCTTCTTAATTTCTGTTCTTGTCACTACTTGTTTCCTACTCTTTAAGCCAAACTGAATTTATTGATAATTCCCTGAACACATCTTCATTTCTACAGTCCCATACATTTGCATGTGCTGTTCCTTCATCCCTCCAACTCTGCACATCATTTTAAATCACCTCGTGTTATTACCCACAAAACTTTATATTTTAGTTTTAAAATTTCTATAGGTCTTTAAACTCTTTTATAGTTATTTTGCTTATGTGTTATTTTCTCCCATTAGATTGTGAGCTGTTTGATGTCAGGAACTATGTCTGTCCTTGTATTCCTAGTACTTACCAAGGGCAAGGCATATAGTAGTCATTTAATAAATGTTTGAGTATTTCAGTGAATTTCTTCTAACAGGAACTTCTAACACAGTTCTTGGATAGAGTTGCTAATGGATAGTAAAAAGGCCACAAATGGGCAGAAAAAGGAAAAAAAAAAATATATATATATGCCTGACCCACTTTATTGAATAACGTAATGAATCTCTATTTCCATAAATTTGACTATAATTAAAATTCAAGAGAACATTTCAGTTTATTTCTGTTTCTGAAAAGGTGAAGTGAATTAAATTGTAGGTAAATGGATCACGTTTTGAAAAATTAACCTCCTTAATTCATTATAACTCTTTTCTCTAATAAATATGGGTTTTTTTTCCTTTGATAACAGCATTCTTAACATGAAGGCAAAAATGCCAGGATACTTCTGTATTTCTATTACTATTTAAAAACTACTACTGTAAAATACTAAGATAACCTTTTAAATGTGTCCTCTACATTGTTTTATATTAAAACTTGGTTAACTGTGTCTTATGTGTTGATCTTAGTACAGTAAAATAATATCTTACAAGGTTTTCTGTCAGAAAGGCATCTAAATAGAGGTCTTACTTGATATATTCTACCTATATCCAACCTATATCAACAACAAAAAAAACTCCTTTAAAATAAAAAATTTTTACTAAGACTTCATAATGTATAAAATTTTCAAAAGTTAAATAAAAATTTTTATGTGTAAGAAATGTTACTGCCCACCATGTATTCTGCATAATGCATTGCAAGCATATAGATTAGGTATAATCCAAATCACCTAAAATTTGTAGACTTTAGACAGATTTTGTAGATCATACTTCCATGCCCATTGATCATTTCACTGTTCATTAGCACCTGATTAAAGGAAATAAAATAATTTTTAAAAACTAATCACTTTGGGCCTCACTAATTTAGAATTTATGATGAATGAGATACTAGACTGACAGCTTTTTGTAGCCCATGGCCTGGATGTTGCCTAATAAATTAAAATTGTTTACAAAATTACAAGGGAAATTAAATATTTAAGAGACCTGTTAAGTATTTTAAAGTAATCATTCCTGTGTAATGAGTTTGTTGATTATAAATCATGCCCTTAAAGCATATTGGTTGATTAAAAGCTATTAGTAATTGAAATTTCTCCGAAAAGATTCTGAATTAGTGAGGTGTGTAATATATAGTCAGATGTATATCTTTTCAGTTTTTGTAGCAATAACTTTGGCCAAAAATTACTTCTCAAGATTATGTTTTGAAGTTCTTCTATGCTATTGTATCCCTGTTGCCTTACATTTTAAAGAACTGGTAAATCCTCGGATCTCTCTGTCAGTGTTGTGTATAAGTAAAATGAAATGGTACCTACTGAGATACAAATTGATTTCATTTACATGCTTCCTTAAAAAATTGATATTTTAATTCTACCGATTTAAGGAAATTACTGTTGTAAAATATTGAAAATGGTTACCTGAACTCAGAAATGGGTATATTAGTAGATTTATAGGAATAATAAATATCAAGTTATATATTTAATTTGATAAATTTCTTTTGAAAATAATTCCCTTTTGTACCAATACATAGGGAGTAGAAAAACAAAGGAGATACAGTGATTTTGCTCATGAATCTGTTTTCCAGCATTCATTTACTACATACATTGTCATCTGTTTTTTTTCTTTATTTCATAATTAATTTCAAATTCAGCATTTTTTATCTAATTTAACATTTTCATATTTTTAAAGGTCCCCAGGTGCATCCAATTTTTCAGCTTTACCAAAGATCTCTCCTTCATCTCTATCAAATAATTATAACAACATCAACAACAGAAAGTAAGCACTGAATCTTAAAAACTCTTTGTTTAATTGATCGCCCTATTGTGGTTGCAAAAAATCTCTGGTATCTAAAACTTAGGATAAAAGTCTTAATGCATTCAAATAGAATTTTTTTTAAATTACTGATCAGTTCTTCTAAGAGTAATTTTACAAGAAAGGACTATTCTAAACTTCTTGATTTAATACATCTACTACAGTAATCCACTAAAAGAGAATTAAAGCACTTTCAGAATTTTACTTTTTAAACACCAACTGTTGAAAATATATATAGAAGTCTGTTAGAACTCAATTTTTTAGTAAGAGTATAAATTTCAGATGTCATTTGAGAACTAGATATATAATCACCTACAATATGTAGTATTTCTTTTTTAAGTATATATCAGTGATTCTTACCTGGAAAGCATACACAAATTTTTATGTTTATCAAAAAGGCAATCACTTTTTCTTTAAAAAGGTTAGAGAAACAGTTCCCTTGCCCCATCATGAATAATATTCAGAATCTCAGAATTTATAAAAGTTACATGAAAGTGTGTGCTATATTGCCATAGAAGAAGGTTAAAAATCACTTGGGCTTTACTGTAATATCTGACATGGGTATATTACCTTGAAAATTGTCATGGTTTTTATTTTATAGAAAAGGATAAAAAGAAAGCTTTTGTTATTTGTAATAAGGGAAGAACCTTAATCTAGAGACAATTACCCTTTTATTATTTCTTGAATATATACATTACATTGTGATTTATTTTTTATTATAATTGTATGTGGTTTTCCTTTTTTTTTTTTTAATTTGCCCTACTTTTCCAGTTAATAAATGGCATCTGATTGCCCAAAGAGTAAATTTGAAAAGACTAAGGCTATTTGTGAAATAATTTTTAAAATAACATCATTAATTGAATTTATAGGTTTAATTAATTTTCCCTGAAAATTCATATCTGGGATGGGGAGAAGGCTTGACAAAATGATTTTAATGTATACCTAGATTATAAATACGTAAGAATAGCCAAAATAATTTTGGAAAGGAAAATGAGAAAGGATTAATCCTACTAAATATCACAGCCTGTTACAAAGATAATAAGAATTCAGACAGCATGGTAGTGATCCAAAAATACATCTACAGATCAGTGAAATAGAAAAGATAGTCCAGAAACAGCCCCTTATACATAAAAGAATTTAATGTGATCCAAAAACATTGTAGACTAATGGAGAATGAGCAGATTATCCAGGAAATTTTATTGTGAAAATTGGATCACTATTGAGAATTTCTCTTTAAAACTTTATATTAAGTTGACCTTTTAATTGTTAGGCATATAAAAATTAAAAGGCAAATAAATGGAAAAAACACTTGCTACAAATGACAAAGGATAAATTTTCCTAATATATCAAAGTCATAAAGATCAGTGAAAAATTTTCTAAGACAAGTAGAAAAATGGGCAAATGATGCAACTGGCAATAAAAGCAAGGTAATTAAAATATAAACATTTTAAATACCCAGATTCACAACTAACTAGAGATATGCAAATTAAAACCATAAAAAATTCCATCTACTACTCTCCACCTCAGTCTCACTGGGAAGAGTTAATGATATTTATTCCTGCAAGGATTTCATTAGAGTGGTTGGAGTATTAGTCCAACTTTTCTAGGAAGGAATTTACCATATGTATGTCAAGAAGATTTATTAAAACATTAATTCTCTTATTTTAGTAATTTATAAAAAGGCATGTGTATCATAATATAATAACATTACATTATAGTGTAATAGTGAAATATTGAAGACACTGTGAATATCCAAAACTGCAATGTAGTGTGTTCTTTACTACTTAAAAATGTATGTTCACAGGCAAAAAAGTGAAAGGAAATACCCCTTTAATCTGGTTTATGCTTTATATGGTATCTTTTAATTAAATTCATAAAAAATAATTTTTTCATGGGAGTTAAAATACTTCTTGTGTTTCTACCAATTGCAGATGCTCCCACATTTACTATAAAAGAACTCAGTTCCAGGTTTAACATGTATTTATAGTTATTCTTTGGAGAAATTTTTAACATTGTAGACTGCATTAACCATAGATTGTAGTCATCGTGTTAGTATATGTGGTCTGGTGCATTTTTGTTTTTGTCTTATTTCTCTCCCATAGTAAAAATATGGTATAATTGGATCTTAAAACCTCTGACTGTAGAAGATAACCGAGAGAAATTGGAGTATTAAGTTTGAGATATGTTTAATAATTCTACTTCTGTGGCTAGATTTTATTTTTAGCTATTTATATTTGTTTATTTTAGGCACTAAAATAGTCCTTTCATTATAGGAAATTTTTATAGCAAATAGCTACTGAAGTACTACCATGCTTAAAAGTGAAGCTTTAACAATAAAGCTTACCTTTCTTAGTAAGGAATAAAATTTAAACATTTGTAAAATGGAAAGTTTTCTTAAATTTTAATTTGAATCAACATTTTAATTACTTTCAATTTGAATTAATCTGAATCTGAATTACTATTTGGTTTAATATTATCATAATAAATTATTTCACATAAAATTTATTTCTTTCCATTCAACTTGTAGAAATGCATAGGCATTTAAGACTTCCTATGGAAGTAGCATAATTTCTTTAATTAAATGTAAAATGGGTAGTGACCTTTTTTAGATTAAGTGCATTTTTGAAACGTCACATATGTGGAGATACTCTACAAGTACCAAAGTATATACTAAAATCAGTAGTTATGACTTACAAGTTTATGTGACATTATTTATAAATTCAAGACTTGAATTAAACTGATACATTACTAAGATAAAAAGTTTTCACTTCCAGAAATACGGATATTGGTCATACAGATAACAAAGTATACTTAGAATTATTTCATATAAATTTAATAAAGCTTTTATTAAAGACTAATGAAGAGTCAATTGTTTATCCTAATGTAGTAGTTTTACCTCCTACTCTATACAGTTTTTGGTTTTGCCTCAATTATAATTTAAGTTCATTTTTAATGTACGCCATTTCCTCTTTTTGTTCCCTGCATTTTTTTGTCTTGCTACATTTGCTTTAATATAATGCTGTCTTTGAAAAGTCTTTTTAATGTATGTATTGTCACAATTCTTGGCATTCCACATCAGAGCACATTTCTATTTTTATGTTAATTCATTTAAAACTTTTATTAGAAATGGAAATGACTCCCTATAAGAGATTAAACTATGAAAAAGAACTTGATTTTGGAGACTGCCAGAGCTAGCCAGCCATATGGCTCTTTGCAAGTTATTCACTGAAAGCATCATTCATTAACTGCAAAATGAGCATAATTATAATTATGAGGATTAAATTATAGATTTATAATACAACGTCAAATATAAGTGCTAATTGAAAAGCCAATCTGAAATTTGTATAGAAAGATGGGGCTCAATTTTACCAAAAAATAAGTTACTTTTTTCAATGTATCTTCATTTAGGGTGATAGATTTATAATACAGAATTAACATAGTATAATACTAAAATTCCCATTAAGATTACAGGCATACTTATTTATTTTTGCAAAACAGCACAGCCGTAGAGGATAAGGACTAGCTTGTAACCTTTAGGGAAAAAAAGTCATAGGTCTAGATTTCCGTGTATTTTGTTGGAAGCGTTTTAAGAACTCCTGGTTTTGGTATTCTCCATGACTTACTTTAATATTTGCTTTAGGAGGCACATAGCATGTGGGTTATAAGTAGCCAGTCAATATAGTGTTAAAATATTTTTAATTTATCAGTTTTTATTATTGTCATTGAGCATCTAGACTGTCTCAGTCTTTGGGCAGTGCTTGTATTTACTCTGTCACTTAAACTGAAATGTAGATATCCTTTAAGATTCAAATTTTAAAAGACAAAACAAAAAAACTGCTTTTGCAATTAAGTTTTTGTTCATTTCTCAGTAAATTAAAATCCCTATCCCAGCAAATTCCATCCTGTTGCCACTAAGAAGAGAAGAGCTTCCAGCATCCATTTGTATTACTTGTGGCAGACACGGCTATATGAATATATACTTAAGGAATAAGCATGTAAATGTGCTTTTTTAGTCTTTTCACTTGCCTGTGTGTGTGTGTGTGTGTGTGTGTGTGTGTGTGTGTGTGGCGGGGTTGGGGGGTACGGGGGCATGAGCATGCATTTGAGCATACTTTCCCTGTGTACTCTGCTCAAAAAAATTTTTAAAGATTTTATTTATTTATTTGACAGATAGAGATCACAAGTAGGCAGAGAGGCAGGCAGAGAGAGAGAGAGAGAGAGAGGGGCACCTGGGTGGCTCAGTGGGTTAAAGCCTCTGCCTTCGGCTCGGGTGGTCTCTCGGTCCTGGGATCAAGCTCCGCATCAGGTTCTCTCTGCTCCGCGGGGAGCCTGCTTCCCCCTTGCTCTCTGCCCGCCTCTCTACTTGTGATCTCTCTCTGTCAAATAAATAAATAAAATCTTTAAAAAAAAAGAGAGAGAGAGAGAGAAAGGAGGAAGCAGGCTCCCTGCTGAGCAGAGAGCCCTATATGGGGCTAAATCCCAGCACCTTGGGATCATGACCCGAGCTGAAGGCAGAGGCTTTAACCCACTGAGCCACGCAGGTGCCCCAACTCTGCTCAAATTTCACTTTAATTTTATACCTGGTATAAGTGTGGGGTTTTTTTAAATGTGGAGGATGTGTAGAAAATGAAGGCCTTTCATTTTTGTATGTAGAGACCTTGATTTTAAGCACTTCTTTTGGAAATAAAAAAAAAAAACAAAAAACAGGACTTAGCTTTTGTTACATGTCCTCAAAGTTAGATTCAAGAGTTCAGTCATCAATCACTGAATGAACATATAGGTGTCTTACATTTTAGTAATTATTGGGAATATAAAATATGAATCATAAGGTTAGTGATCTGCCAGAACAAAAGGTACTTGAGTCTATTTTTTGTTTTATATTTTTTTTTTTTAGTTTAAAACAAGTAAATGTAATTACAAGTCTAAAAGTTCTAGAATAGAATTGATCAGGTTCCATTTCTTTGTGCCCTCCTTTTCTTTTTTTTTTTTTTTTTAAAGTATCAGGATAATTTGCTTTTTGAGTCCGGGAACTGGTCTTTTTGTTTGTGTTACGGGTATGTTCTTAAATTATGTGAAAATATTGGGTAAGCCTTGTGTGTATAGTTTTGGGGTTGAGGTGGTTTTGTTTTACCTGTGAAGCTTGTTGAAGGGTGGGTGTGTGTGTGTTTACTAAAGGCTTTGTTGTAACTGGCAGTAATACAGTTCTCTTAAACTGTTATAATAATAAAGCGTTAGTATAGAAGCTACAGTATGAAAAATTTGAAATTATAAGTAAAAAATACTTTTTAAAAGGAATACCAGGAATAAATTGTAGCTAATTGAGATTATCAGGGTTACTAATTCATCATGTTTATTTGTAACACTCTATTCTTTTATTTGAATTGTGATTTACTTTTAGTATGACCTTGATTCTCATTCAGGTTTGCGCTCATGAATAAAAAAGTGATGATTGAGAGAATGGCTTTGAGTTATATCTAATGTGTCCATTGTAAATATTTTATAAGATAACCTATTAAAATTTAAGGGAGAATTCATCCTTCGCCACAAAATTATTGTTTTATTACATGTAGAAAGAAAGAGGGACAGTTTAACTTACTGAGTTTTCTTTGTCCTAAAATTACTCTGATTCTCTAAGGTTGAAAATTATTTGGCTTATTTTATGATTAGTATTTATTATGCTGATAGTCCAAATTATCCTGAGGTTATATTCATCTAGGTTAAAAAAAAAAAAAAAACCTAAATTATTCTAACAAACTAGAAAAATAAAGCAAATACTGGAATGTACTTGCTTAGAATCATTTCTGATCACCCCAGGCTTTTTTCTGCATTTGATTACTAGATTTTGCTGGTGTAGCATAGAAACTATAAATAGAATCTTCAATGCATCAGACCAGTGATGTCACAGAGGCCTTGGAAATCTCTGCTCTCACCTGTAACTAAAGTACAACTCCTCCTGTTTCTACTGTTCTCATTCTATTACAGTAGCAGGATGTAAAAGGGACATAAATGAGATGATTTATTGCTGCGGGTGGTGTTTAAAATCTGAATGTTTTAAATTTGATGGAGCAATGAAGAATGGAGCGAGCTGTGGAGCTGCTCCAGCTGATCAAGGGTAGAAAGATATAATAGTGGTTTGTATTGGTTGGTGTGGCATATGTATGCAGTGATTTTGTTGATTGAATGAGAAGTATCTTAATTAAAGGGGTTATTTTCATTAGGTTCATATCTTTAAAAATACGAGATAATTTTTTAATAAAAAATTTAAGGACTGACCACCTATCTCAAATTGGTTTGAAGTACTCTGTTCATATAACTATTTTTTTAATAATTAGCTGCATTACGAAAAATATTCTTTGTTTTCTTCTAGTGTGAAAAACTCAAATTATTGTCTCCCATCATATACTGCTTATAAGAACTATGATTATTCAGAACCTGGCAGAAACAATGAACAGCCAGGCCTCTGTGGCCTAAGTAACTTGGGAAATACGTGTTTCATGAACTCAGCTATTCAGGTAGGTCATTCCAAAGTGAAATTCACATGTTTCATGGAAATCAGCAATAAAAGACCAGTAGAGTTTTACCTATCAGAACATGAGTATTATATATGTTTTGAGAGTTTCTGTTTTCATGGAAGATTTAAACATGCATATTTGAATCATTTATTCTAGTGCTAATAGAATATTATGTTCCTCAATTAGGTGGCATATGATTGATTACCACATGGTAGAAGATTAAGTATCCCTTATACAAAATATAATTTCAAGCAGAAAAGCTAGGCTCTCTGAAAAGAAAAAAAAGTGAGATCACTCCTTTATATTTTCAGTACAAGTGTCATGCTTTTTTTGAACATTGGTGGGAATCTTAGAGAATAAATCTTTTATGGTCACCAGTTCTTTAACTCTAAATAAATTTATTTTTAAATCTTTTTTTTAAACTTAATGTGAAATTTAAGATTTTTTTAATGAGAAAATTTTACGAACTTCCTTTTGCATACATATTTTAACAAATCACTTTCCCTTAAAGATGTTTTTAATTTAGGGATATAATTGATCACTGCCCCATTTTTCCCTTTATCTCTCCATGGAGCTTCCCTTGTCTTCCTGCTCTGTGTACACCCTTTTACAGCTTATTGAATGTTTGTCTTTGATTGACTTTGAAGTAATGAGATCTATATATTTCTTAATATCACTATCACTAATTATAAAATTAGAAATAGTTATTTCATTTTCTTTTTACAAATTCTGTATTTCAGAAAGTCCAAAATAATGGTATACTGTTTTTGATAGTTCAATTTTAGCCTTTGGGGGGATCCTTTTTTTGTTTTGGAGTGTTTTTGTTTTTTGAAAATTCAGAAATTTTATTTTTAAATCTGTAATTTTCTGTTCTCAATTCATATTTTAATACTGAATCTCCTATGCCTAGGAGGCATCCTCCAAAGATAGTAGATTAAATACAGAGTATGGATTAATTAAGGACATTATTACAACTCTTTTTCACTATCTGAAAACAGTATAGGACTTTTTACCATCCAAAATCCAAAACTCTAATAATTCCTTTTGTACATTGGCATTAATATATTTGTCTCCTAAATTAACCATTGTCTTTACAGTATTCTTGGAAAATTAGTATTTGTCATAATTGTCTAGACCAAGAATTGGCAATCTTTTAGAAATGCCTAAAGGATATAATTACTTAATTTCTGATTTCTTGCTTTAGAGTTGATCCACTCAGAAAATACCCTTTATGCTCAAGCAGATACTGTGTAGGGTTCATAAACTCTTCCTTTAAACCTTTGATGATTAATTTATGCTTTAAATGTGAATTACTTTATTCAAAATTATTTTTCTAGGATCCCAGTGCTAGTTAAATAAACAATTTTAAGAAATTTGTATCTTTATATTTCTGGGAGAGGAGAAAAGGAACTCATCTGAGAAGAGCAAGCCAAAACGTACTTTTGTTCTGGCAGCTATTTAAATAACAAAGTAAAGGGTGTGGGTGGTAGGCTTTCAGAGACAGGAACAGGCCAGACAGATTGTAATTTTATTTGGATATCTTCTGGACTATTCTACCTGACCACGGAAAAACATCTTTAGTACCATCTCTGTAAGATGTCTTATATAAATGGTATGTCAGTACCAGAAAACTCTTCTTGTATCACTAAGTCGTATTAATTTTTAGATCACTCCTATCCTTGCACTGCCAGAATTATTTTGGTTCTAGACACTTTATGAAACTTGAGAGGGGTTGTTTGTTGGGGGGGGGGTTAATCTAAAACCAATCTTGGTGCTTTCTTATAAGGATTAAGAAAATACTTTAAAAGCATAGGCATTAAATTTGAGAGGGTCAGAAGAGAACAAGAGTTAATGTTCATGTTAATCATTCAGAAGCGGCTCTGGCTTTCATTCAAACTGAATTCCTTCTAGGAGATTATTAAGTTCTAGTTTCCTATGCCTTTGATACAGACGTACTAGTGTTTTGTATCCATATGGTTAACTATAATTCCTTAAAAAATGAGTATTAAAATGAAATCTTCTAATCACTTATGTTGGGCTAGATTTGGCATTTGTTCGACTTTCTTATATATGTTTAAGATATCAGAAAATTCATTCTATTAGTTATTGCCTCACTTCAAAACCATTATAATAAGTTTATAAATTTAATGCTGATCCTTTTAATATATGTCACCTTTACATGTTCCATTTCAAATGAAATTAGAGCCATGAGGGTGAGGTTTGTAGTCATGAGGGTGATAGTTTGTTACTTTCTGGTATTAGTCATAAAGTAAGAAAAATTTCAGATGAAAACTTCAGGGGTTTTTACATTTTAAGCAGTGGATATTATTTCATGTCTGTGTCTTGGCTGAAAACTGTACTTTTCGCTGAAATTAAAATCTCTAATCACCTTGGGCAAGAGAAAAAATGAGTTTTTATTTTTGCTACTTTTGACTTTTAATTCAAATCCACAATTAGAAAAGCTAATACTTCAGTTTTATTTTCTTAAAGCTTTTATGATTTTTTATTGATTTAGATGTTTACTCTGAAGCTGAGAATTCGTCATTAAAGGGAATGTAAAATGATGTCAGTAGGCTTTATCCCTGTTTCATGAACATGCATGTAAGTCGTTAGGTCCACAGGTGAAAGGGGTTAAAGATAACTAATAGAGTAGATTCTTTTTTTTAATAATTTTTTTAGATAGTTTCCTCAATTATCCTTTTTTTTTCAAGTTTCCTTATAACTTCTCTGAAATTGAAGACAATTCATGAGCTTTAGAAAATATCTCTACTGATAATTTGGATTTTATTATAATTTCTTATAGTCAATAATTCTTAAAAAAATACATAGACATTTTAATACCTTGGGCAGTAGGATTATTGATATGCCAAAAAACTTTGTGGAAAGCATACCTACTCTTTGTATGTGAGAATGGATTATGCTTATTAACCCATCAGTAGCCTTGAGGTAATGAAATCTTTTTGACTACTTATGGTTAAAAACTAAGTGGCACCAATCTGAGTCTGATTTTAATATTATTAGTCTTACTGTTTAATTATATTTGTATTCAAGATTTTCTCTGATGTAATAGTATGAATGAGTATTAAACTTTTTTGATGAGAATAGTACTGTTATATAGTTTTAATTTATTAAGTTAATATTTATTGAATATGAAACATGAGACACTTTTGGACACAGATTCTGTGTCCATGAAGATTATAATCTAGATACTGTGGTTTTCACACTTTTTGCCTTTTAGTAAGGACATCTCTTTTTAATTATTACTATGAAAAGTTTGATTTTATCCTCAATATTTAAAGAGATTTAGCGAAGTTGCTTTGGTTGGGTAAAGGATATAGAATCCCACCTACTGTCTCTTACTTTCCTTAATGGCTGTGGAAGCATTCTCATGGGATCCCAGGACTCTAAGATAAACAGTCTAAAAACTATAGTATAGGAAGAAAAAAGAAAAGAACACAATAAAAATTAACAATACAGATTAGGAGCACAGCTTATGGAGTTATACTGCCTGGATTGAAAACATGTCTGTCTTATTTATTATCTGTGTTACCCTATAGAAGTCATTTCACAATTCATTTTTCACATCATATGAGGAAAATAGTGGGATCCGTATCTTGGGAATTTTGTGGGGATTAAATGAGGTGAAGAATATAAAGTTCTTAGAATAGTGACTAGCACATCATAAATCAGTAGTGAGTAGGCTGATATTTTGTCTTGTGTTGTTTTGTTTCGATTCAAAGAGCTAAGCACAGTAACCAGAAAAAATCTAATTTTGATAACCACTGTATTTGTTCTCCTTTTCTAGAAGTCTCATTTCACTTGGCTTGTACCTAGTGAATGAAAAAACTAATCATATTTTTAATTCTTTTTCACTTAGTATTACTGCAATAATGGCATTTATCATCTCCATTTTTGAACTGTTTTAGTTTAACTCTCCCCAGGCAAACTAGTAGGCAAGGAATATGTTTGTGCATATTCAATATTCAGAGAACACAAAATTCATGATTTCAGGTTATCCCTGGCCTCAGCCTCCTGAGTAGTTATGATTGCAGGCATACACCGCTAAGTCCCAGTGGTACAAATAAGTTAACAAAATAGTTTTTTAATGCCCTAAATCTTTGAGAGAATGTCTAATTTTAAAATTTGCATTATTGGAGGTAATTTTAATTAGCATCAGTTGAGTAGATTCAGGAGCACTCCAACCCTTGTCTTTTTCATTGTCAAGGCCTAGGAGGCTCATGATTGGCTTCCTGGAAGAAGCAACTCTGCAGATGGATTTGAAGCAGGGGAGTGATATGGTCTTTTCCACTGGAAAGCAGCATGGCGTAAGATGGTTGTTTTCAAACTCTTTACTTGGAAGTATTAGGGCTCTAGGAAGTCATTGAAAAAAATGATAGTAATCAAGACTCTGTTCATTATTCCTGTCATACAGTGTAAAATCAGTTGGGATTCCAAGCATTTTTAAGTCAGTTTTTTTTTTTTTTAACGGTCTGTTGGATTAGGAAAAAATCTATTCAATCTATTCAGTAAATTCTGAAGAATGTTAAATAGAAAGCTTAAAGCTTTAAAAAAAAAACTTAAAAGAGAATGAGTAATGCTACACCGAAATAACATTTTTTTTAAGAAAGTAGGTTCTTATTATATTGTAAAACAGTGGAAAAGTCATTACTTAAACTATCAATTTCTATGTTGTAGTCCTTTATCATTTGCATATGATTAAATTTAATGCTGTTCTCCTGTCACCCTGAAACATTCTTTTTGCATTTATTGGAACACCAATTCTTTGAAGTCCAGATTAACTCAGGTCATGATCCCGGGGTCCTGGGATCGAGCCCCACGTGGAGCTCTCTGCTCAGCAGGGAGCCTGCTTCCCCTTCTCTCTCTCTGCCTGCTTGTGATCTCTGTCTGTCAAATAAACAAATAAAATCTTTAAAAAAAAAAATGAAAATAGTTTTCATCAAAAAAGGAATCAATTAGCCCTTGAGACATAAGCATTTTTA